ACATGTAAAGATTTCAAGAGAGTATAAACAGCGTTGACTTCTGGATTAATCTTAGAAGAAGTAAAAGCCTGTCTAGAACATGCATGCTGTTTTCCTTGAGAAGTTCCTTCTCATTTCCTTTTTTTTTCTTTTTTTTTTCTTTTCTGTTTTTTTTCTTTTCCACTTGAAAATGTGTTCCCACTGTCTCCTTGTGTTTATCTCCAGGTTTTGTAACTGTAAGGAGGAGGATTCTGTCGTAACATTTTTAATGGTACCAAGGGGTTGTTATTTTACAATCTTAGGTTGCTATGCTGAAGTAAAAATCTTTATAAGACTGGGAAATTGTGTGGTCAGTAAACTGTATGGTATTTTAAGTACTAGGCTTTTTCCCAGAAATTATTTTCAGATTTGAATCTGAGTGAATTTCTACAGTATTTGTAGTTCTGTCAGAATTGGAAGGCTGAGGACTGTAAATTTTCACTTGTTAAATAGCTAGCTTAACCAGTTGCAAGTGAATAGACTGAAAGGTTAAAAGCAGTGGTTCATTGAACTCCATAGGAGACTGTGTGAGGCAAGTTTCCAGTGTTACTGAGCTGTCTAGCTGACCTTTTTGTCTTTTCTTTCCCCTCCTCTTTTACCAGTGGAGGCTGTTTTCCACTTGTGCACAGTCACTGGCTGAAGAAGCCCTTTCTGTTCATCAGAAAGTAGAAACAGAAGGCAATTGCACAACCTCCCTACCTGTTGCACATGTCAGGACACAGTTGTGTGTGGAGGTAAAGTTTTTCGTGAGTTTTAGTGCCTTGGCAGTAATGAAAGTACCTCTGGCAATGAAAATATTTTGTTCTCTTAGTTTGTGTTGGAAATGAAAGTTCCTCTTAAAATACTGGGTATTTTATAAAATACAGTGTACTTAAAATACTATGTATTTCAATATGATAACATTAAAATATCACTTAGCAATACTCTCACTGTTGAGTGTTCTGCTGGAAGGTAATAAATTCATGACTGGTATTGAATCTCTTAAGCGGAAACTATGCTTGGCTGGTAATGATGTCCAGTATCTGTTAGAAGGAATCACAACAGAGGCAACTTTTCCTTACCTACTTAGACTGAGGACTTGGCAGGTCTCCTGTACTAAACAGGGTAAATCTGATCTGCATGTTAATGGCAGATCTCCAATGAAAAGTTGAGGAAGTGCTATTGCTAATTCAGTGCAAGGCACTCTTTCTAGCAAGCCTGCTTGGACTTGTGACCCCAGCCTGTTCCCAGGCACTGTTTAGTGGTGAGAAGTGGTTTCTTTCAACTGTGGCACCAACAGACAAAGTGAGGTACTCAAACCTTCTTGTTAGTGATCTGTAAGATATGGAATCATTAAAATCAGAACTGGCATTATACTCTGTGCACACACATATGAAGCAATGTGTGAGACTCAGCTGATTCTGCCCATCCACCAATGTGATTACTCATCAGAAAGTCACACAGCTGTTTTACTCCAGATCTCCTTTGTCTGTCTGTATATTCTTTCCATATCCCACTCAGGCTTAACTGTTCCCTCAGAACACCTATTTTCAGCTCTCTGAATATGTTGAGCCATTTCAAAGGGTAGCAGAATGGAGTGTAAGCATGTCTTTCAGGGGAAATGTTACTACATTCTTTAGATGTGACACTGGGATCGCGTGGTATCAACATTCGGGGCTTCAAGTTGAATGTCTGTAGGATTGGAGACTCCCGAAAACTTAGGGCCTTGTTTGAAAGGCATCATTCACTGCCAAAGCATTCATGACCAAAGTTTTACTCTGGGAAAAATAAATGAAAACGTAGCACTTCCTAGTAAGGGCATGTCATTGAATTTTTGAAGATAGATGTATGTAATCAGAGGACTTCCCTAAATCCAAGTGCCTTAATATTTTTCTTTGTAAGTGGATCTGGGTAAGGGCCAGATTTCTTCCTCTTGTTAGTGACCTGTAGCTTGTTTGAGGCAGTGAGAGCTGAAGTACTCTGCACACCTGCAGAGTGAAGTTCAAACTGTATTAGGGTAGTTGTGCAAAGATGGATATTGGTTTTTGATCATGGTACCTGTACCCGATGGAAGAATTCTGCAGTAAGCAAGCCTGCTGAAGTGTGACAGGAATTCTGAAGCCAAATTTAGCGCTTAGCTAATAGCCTCTTGGCTTATACTTATGGGAGAACTGAATCTCTGTGTTGGCTCTGCAGGCTTGCAGAAAGGAAGAATAATTTTCAGTTAATTCCAAAGTAAGCATTCTGTACATGCATATGGCTTCATCTCAGAGGAAATGTGCTTCAGAAAGATAGTATTTAAACATTTATTTAAGCAAACGTTTAACTATCAGTGAAGTCATGGAATAAGAATACACTCAATTCCCATCCTCAGAGCAAGCCAGAGGGAAGACAATTTTTTTAAACAGTGTAACAAGGTGTCAAGGGTATTGTCAGTGTTGAATAGTAATTGAAGGACACATCAGAAATTGAAATCTAAGTAGCTTGGGTTAAACACAAATGGTGAAGACTTTCAGTCCTACAGCTAACAGTGCTGTGGAGTTCCTGACTGCAAAGGGAGCCAAAAAATCTGACAGATATTTTTAAAATGCACTTGCATTATTCTTGTTATTTTTTCTTTTGATTTTTGAAGGCTTTGAAGTTAGTTTCCTTTGAAAAGGAGAGCAATATGAAATGTGGTGTGCTTAGGTCTCTTTTTTTCTTTAAAAAAAAGATCCTTGAGCACAGTAGCTTTTCTTTAAAATGTTGTGGGTGCATAAATAATAAAATATGTGATGGCATGGTACAAAGATTATCTTGGCACAGGTCTGGGATGACTGAATTGCTTACATGGCTTTTGACATTTGTGAATAAGATGATCATTGCAAAAGTGTGCCAATGAAAACTTCATACCTCACTAGAACGTGTGTGTGTTTAAGTTTGTTAGCATTTTCTATTTCATCACATCTTCTAGTATCAGATTGAGGTAAATCTTCAGTGTTGTACCATATTGTTGGTGTATCTTAAGATGGGTTGCCAGAGTAGCCTCTGTGGATAAGCAAGGCTGTGGGTTTTGTGACACAGTGAAAAAGAAGTGAAAACGGTGTTGAGAAGGAAAATTCTCACATCCCATTCCTTATCCCTCCTTACTGTCGGCTACCTACTCCTTTCATTTGCTTTGAACCAGTTGTGATGTTCATCCTATCACAAGGATAAACCCGCTCAAAAACGGAAGATAAGTGCCTTGGCAAGAAGAAAGGAAAAAGTGACTTTTTTTCCCCCTTCTTTGTTAGTAATTTAAACCATTTTACCTTGTAATCTGATCAACAGGACAGCCATCAGTGCCTGCAAGGGGCTGGGTGTGCCATGCGCTTTCCTGTCTACTTTTGGGTGTGCATAGATGCACGCAGCAGCTCTGTGTGATGTGTTTCATGTGTGTTGTCAGTATCACCAGTTGTACTTTAAGAGTCTTGGCCTAGGTGTAAGACCAAACATGGCTGTTATCTACCACGTCTGTATTCACTGCAGTGGTCATAAATGCCTGGTCCCAAAAGATACACCCTTTGGTTAAGCTGCGCACGGTGGTGATAGTCAGCAGAAGATTGTCCAGAGCTTGCAGTCATTAATCGAAGAGCACGAGGCACGTCACTATGGAGCTCTGAAGGTCTCAAACTCTCGTTGAATAGTTGAAGATTTGGCTTACAGACTTTTCAGTTTAGTCCTGTTGAGACAGTCTGTAAAGCTCTCAGGCACCACTGTGCCTGTTTACAAGCACAGAGTTGGGTGGGATGATATGAGCAGGGGTGAAAAGTTGTGGTCTTACTAAAGGTTGCAGACTCCACCACATTGTTGGTAGCTCAAATCATGTTGCCTGAAGAAGATGCAATGCTCCACGGCACTGCCACTGTGGTTACAACTCTGATCTGATACAGCTTATGTGAGATCTTGAAAAACAAAAGGGAGAGTATGTCATGCTGTACTACTGAAAGTGTTAGAAAGCAGGAGGAATTCATGATCAGAGGGAGAGAGGAGCAGTGGAGTAAAGAGCAGAGAAATTCATCTTCATTTTAGCAATGGCAAACTGTTCATTTATTCCCATAGCATCATGAGTCCACATCCACAGAGTACTGTGTAGGATTCCTTTCTTCCTGCCTCCCGTGTCAAACAGAGCTGAGGACAGGCCATTAATTTCAGAGGGAGTTTGTTTGGAGTGGAGTCTGTTCTTAGTATGAGCAGAAGGATAATTTTGGTTCTTCTAAGGAAAAAAAAAGCCCCACAATGTTTTTGTCAGTCTGCAAAATGGTGACCAATTGTAATCGCAGCTGCTTAGAGAGCCAAAGCATTAGAAGATAATTGCATTTATACCTCTGCTGCTCTTTCTGTGGTCTTCACTGTGTTTGCTTTAATGGTTTCTGTTACTAGAAATAAGTACATGTTCAAAGGTGTAATAAACTGTTCATCTTTTGCAAGTAAAACCACTGCTTATGCTGTCAGAGTGGGTGCCACAGCCTGTCATTTATCAGAATATTGAGATCCTGAAAAACACTGTAGAATCTTGTGTAGAGATAGCCCTGTGAAATTTAGAGCTCTTGTGCTTCAGCTCAGTGGGGATGTATCCCTGCAGCACTTTTATCCATGGCACTGTGTTTCAGCCAAAGGAAGGAAATGGATAAGTTGTGTAGAAATTACTAGGAAAGTAGATTTCCTATTTGCCTATGAAGAAAATAATGCTTTTTGTAAGGGAGTGTCAAATTGTTCATTGAAGAATGAAGCTCTTCCAAACAGTAGTTTCATTTTAGGCAAGTATTTTGTTTTTATATCCCTTTTCCTGCACTCCTTGCAATTATCTCTTTCAGTTTCTGCACATAGTTAAGGGCTTTCTGAGTGCTGAAAGTTGCTGAAGGTCAGAGTAGAGAGTTGCCTGGATGCTGTGCCTGGAGGATCCTAGTTCTCGCCTAGGCTGCTCTCTACCCTCTATAGCTATAAAACTCATTTCCCTTCCCCCTCTCCCTGTCTGTTTGCAGGTTATCTTGACGAATCAGATTACCACATCGTTGAGCAATGGCCTTGTGATCCAGGCAGACCTGGTGTCTCCAGCTGATGATTTGTCCCTGTCTGAAGGTAAGAGATCCCTTCTATCAGAACTGAAACTCTACACTGACACAAATCCACATTGTTACTTGCAGTGTTCTGGTGATGTCTGGGAACAAAATTATTTTTCAGTTTCTCTGAAAATCCATTTATAAATAAAAAGAAAGTAAGTGTACTAACTAAAAGATCTTACATTTTCTAAGGGCTGGGAATGAATTTTCCAGCCATGTTGGTTTTATAATGTTTCTCAGCATTGTACTTTCATATTTTCTGTCTTCTGAAGCTGCTGCTAGAGTTATAACACAGGCTAGGCTACAAATTTGATGTTATCTAATGATTATGAGTGATTCCAGGGAGAAACAGGTCACAAATGAAGGACAGCAAATAGTTCTGTCCCTTGCATTATGCTTGTCTGGTTTTAAATACAGTGCCTCAAACTGAAGGCACACACACAATGTTGTGTGAATGTAACATGAGGGTTTGTGTGATGCTATATAGTACTTTACATCTTCATGTTTCCTTTTTCTGCACAGAATTAGAGGGAAGCACACATTTTGGGGTTATAGAAAGGACTTAATGTGCTAACAAACAATGATAATTCTGAATGAAGTTTTGCAAAGTAATATAATAATCTGAGCTTTCCCAGGTTGAAAAGAATGATCAGAGTACCCTCAGCCAGGGACATATGCAGAGAAATTTGCTATTTAGAGTTCAGTTCATGTATAGACCCAAATGTCTGATGTAAAGCAATACTCGTCTTTCCTGCAAAGGCATGATAATAGCATGAAGACTTCCTACTTCCTATAATATGAGTATTTCCTCTCTTTCTTGTTGCACTTTCACATGCTTCTGGTCAGCCGATCTTTGCTCTGGCTGATCACAGACAGTTAACACAGGAAGAGCTTGGTGGCAAAATCATCAACTAAGCAGTGGTTAAAAAACTTGACATTATTTCTGCAATTCATTTCAATGAACATAAGAAAGAGGTTGATGGTAGATTAAACAGAATGTTGAAGAGCAGCACATAAGTGTAATGCCTTAACACTGATTGATGTGTTTACTTCGTAATTTTGTCAAGAGGAGCTTGAGCAAAGCAGGCCCATTAAATCATGTTGGAATTGTGCTTGTGGCTTTTTTTGGCTCCATCCCTTGCCCAAATATCTCAGAAGTTTATTGCTTGAAAATCACTCCCTACCTCTGTCAGAAAGAATTGAAATTTGGTAACTAGATTTGGAAGAGGACAGCATAATTTTTCATCTTTATTATTTCCTTCTTGGCATGAAGATATGGCACATTGTCTCATTAAATGCTCTTGATCACAGTACTTGTGCTTTTCTTTGGTTTTTAAAATTGCTCTGTATGAGCCACCTCTGAAAAGAAAGGCATAGCTGACTCTGAAGTGGAAGTAATAACAAATTGTGCTCTCAGTAATACTCTATTTTTTCCGTTGTGGTTAAAATACTTGAAAAGTAGAAAAAGTACAGAATAGTTCTAATCTTTCTGAATTTTCCTGCAAGTAAGAAAGATTCTCAGTGCTGTGTATGAGCCCTAGCTCAATAGTATTCTGAAATCAGGACTATGAAAGAAATAGAATTATGATTTTTGTAGGAGTTACTGCTTATTAGTGAAGCAATCGTGTTGTGTCTGAACTCTCTACTACCATTAGTTATCACCTTTTAACCCAAGAATGAGTTAAAATGTGTTGGTGCTTTTTGTGTGTGTTTGGGTTTTTTGTTTCTCTCATTACTTGTTTTTAATTAAGGGTCTGAAGTAGTAAAATGTGCCAGCATGACACTTGTTGAATTGGAAACCTTTGTGTAGCCTCAGAACAAGACCAGTACAGACAGCAGCAGTGCAGGCTCCTTTGGTAATTCAAATTTTATCAAGGGATGCAGGGGTGAGAAACTTCTTTCCTTCTCTGCCTTTCCTCTTCTGTCAACTAACATTGGCAGAGTATTTAGATGTGGTGTTGTGTAATGGGAGAGGATAGTGCATCTCCCCACTATATGGTTTTCTCCTGTCTTTCTTATCCATAATATGGCTGCTTTGGTTCTCCAGTTTGCTTCAATTTTAAGCCATGCTGTTTACCTGTGGGGAAAAAGTGGAATTTCAGTCATTCAACATTTGATTTCCATGTTTATTTTGCTGTCACAAGATACAGATGTGGCCAGGGCTTTTCTTTTTACATATCGAGGTGTTGACTGGTCCTGAGAAAGTTCCCCCCTAACTTATTTCATTTTGGCTATTGAAAAGCCTGAAAGCAGCAATACTTCAATCTTCTGACCATCTTGGGTACTTTAAGAATCCTAAATCAGTTCGTTTTCTAGGATTAGTATGATATTCATAATACTGCTATTTTACAACCATTGAATTTGCAGGAAAGAGTAGTTATGTGGGTAGCCCTAGTGCACAAAGTTGCAGAGGCAGGAATAGAGGCCAGATTCATGATGGGTGGTTCTTACCTCATTCTTCCTTTTCACTCATCACCAGCTAAAGCTGAATTTGAACCAGTGACCTAGATGTGAAAGGACCTATAACACATTATTAGTCCTGTAAGCAACTCAGACCCTTGGTTTGTAGTATGTTGTTTTAATCCTATCTGAAATCAGAGTCCCATCACTGTAAATGGTTTGCTAAAAGGGTAATCTTTCTTAGACAGAGGCAGAAATGAAAATTTCAAACTGAATGTGCTATTAGAAAGAAGTGGAATATTACAGTTGTTTTTGATTTTGCTTCTGATTGTGCTTTAGAAGGGAATTGCTTGGGTTATATGTTAGATTAGGCAAGAAACCAAGGAAGCTGTTCGTCTGATGTGTGACAGAAAGTTAATTTGATGAACAAGCTGAAAGGACATTGTCAAGCTGTTTCAGGCTCAAAGCTTGTCTTCTGTAGAATTTTAATCTAGTGCATGAAAAGTTCTGTCCTAAAATTATGTTAGATTTTTATGAGAACATTAAAAGCTGTATAAAAGCAGCACTGGCTGTAAAATCCAACCACTTATGTAGCAGTGTAAGAATTCTTGAATTGTTTGTTGGTATTTCTTATAGGAAATGTGTGTGTTCAGCTAAACTCCCAGACCTGTGTGTGCACACTTCTGCTTCAAGGCAGGAGGGTGGGGAGAAGAAAGAAAAAACATTAGTTTGCTACAAATTAAAGTGATGAATACAATACAAGAGTTTCTGTACCTGTGGGCAGAGTCCTTGCATTTATTTGGCCTTTAAATACTTGCCAGATTATTATCTGAAGGAGTATGCTAAACTAATAATATTTTTCTGCAGCTCTAAAATTCTCAGGCACGTTAGGCTGTCAGTTCTTCCCTAGGAACCAAACTGAGTTTTCACTTCTTAGCTACACTTTGTATATAGCCATCTCACAAATCCTGTCATCAGAGGGGGTAGGCTGGAAGATGACGTGAATACTGCTGTTTCACTTTATTCTTGCTTTGTGGAATAGCCTCTGTTGAGCTCTTCCAATCAAAGACAAATTGGAGATGCCTTAAAGTTACTTTAGATTTTAGAAATGGTCAGATAAGCCCAGGACTATGACTAAGCTTGAAAATGTGGCCTGAAGAATTAGTGCTTTATTATTTAAATGTGCAAAAAGTAGCCATTACCCCACTTAATTCAGCTTAGATCTAATTTTTATTTATTAAAAAAATTATTAATTTAGTAAAGTGAACAGTAGAAATGGAGTGCAAATGGAGTAGAAATGGCCACAGCAATATATTTTGTATGAATGTCAATGGGTGTTTTTAAACAAGTTGTCCGTGGCTGTGACTGTACTGTTTTTGTTATTTTTGCGAAGGTCACATGACTGGATTTTACCTGATACGAAGAGCTGTTAGAAATTAATTCTAAGCCTGTGTGTTTGAATGCTGCTGGACAATGAAATTTGTGTATTTATTTCAATTGTGTGCTGTGAAGAGCTGGAACCGTGTGACCTACTTGCGGTCCCTTCTAGCCCACCAGTGCTTGTCCTGTTCATAGATGTGCCAGCTGCAAGCTCTAACTTCCTGTCGAAAGCATCAAAGCCAGATTCCATCTTTTCTTGGAAGAAACTCAGGGACATGTTGGTATGAACAAGAAAAGCATCTCCTTCCCAGCATGCACAGCGTGACCAGCAAAAAGAAGACTTCTGTCTCAGGCTTCTTCAGTCTTAGCTGGTGCTTTCAGTTATTTGTTTGGAAAAGTCAGAGTTATTTAGTGTTTAAAATTGTCTGTAAACTTGCACTGGCTGTTGGGAGGGCAGCATTCAATCTTCTGCATTCACATTCATCAAGCTCTTTGTCAGAGGCTTGTATATTTCTAGTGCATAGTGTGAGCAATGAGTTTAGTCTGACCTTTTCATCTTTGTTGCCGTGATCTTGAATTCTTTTAAGCTGTTGAGCAGAAGCAGAGACTGGAAAAACTAAGCTACTATAATATCTCCCACCCACAAGATTTTCCTACTCTAGTTTAGGAGCAGAAGATTCAAAGCTGGAATCTTTGGCTTCTCTTCTCTGCTTTGCTCTTATCTCCTGTCAGGTTGTGGTTAATTTTATTCCTCAAGCCTCAGTTTAACGGGTTTTTTAACATTGGAATATATTTTTATTTTAATATCCCCATGTTAAATTTTTTTCTTTCTTAATATTTCAAGATATTCCTATGGGGAAAATAATGAATTGACCTCCTGTTCACTCCAGAGTAAGACCAGTTCTGTAGTTTATTACTTCTCTCCCTTTAAATTCCTTTTTCCAGTCCTGGTGCTGAATGGAGGGAAAACACTAAAGGAATTACCAAGAGAACTGAGGGACCCCGAGAGATCAGAGGCTGTTGGTTGGTTTTGGTTTGTTTATTTATTGACTTCTGTATATACTTAGACTTAAGGTTGCGCCTGCAGGTAACTTAAAAATAGAATATTCTATGAGAACTCACACATACCTGTTTTGCAGGAACTGTGAACTTATGAATGAAGCAGCTGTTAAACAAGTTTCTAAAACACTTCCTCCTTGTAGTTTTAAAGCTAATACAGAATAATGCATGTCCTAGTAA